CTCGACATATCAATCGAACAGTGGGATCCCATCCTCATTCATATCGTCCTTAATAAATTCGACAAAGCAACACGGCGAGAATGGAGACGAACTCAGCAAAGTAACGTACTTTCATCATTCGCCGAGCTGACTTCGTTCATACGTAGAACCGTACTATCATCAGATGATACCGATTCCATTCGTTCAGCAAGGGAAGAGAAGGTGAATGATTCAAAGAAGGGCAAGGTTAAGNGGGCAAGGTTAAGGTTAGTCATCAAGCTGCGAGGAGTCAGGAAACTCCAAGGACGCAGTGTTTCACTACCGCGGCCACCAAAGAATGTCCGATATGCAAAGGGGCACAGCATCATGTTCTCCGATGCCATAAATTCAGAACCTTACCTCCAAAAGAACGACGCGAGGCAGCTGTAAGGATCCGACTGTGTCTCAATTGTCTCAAGGAAGATCATACAACCGAAAAATGCGATTCAAAATACACATGTATGGTTTGCAAGGGGAAGCACCACACGTGGTTGCATCACTCTGAAGCAACCCAATCTTCTCCTCCGACACGGGATTCTCACGAAGCATGACTAGACCATCCCAAAGTTTCCACCGATCCCTCCGACACAATCTCATTCGTTACTAGCGTCATACCGAGAGACTTATTGGTGACCGCCGTTGTAAGAGTTGCTGATGTAAATGGATCATACCACCTGCATAGAGTACTTTTGGACACCTGTTCAAATTCCAATTTCATGACCGACAGGCTAGCCAATTCGCTCGGTCTCCCGAAGGAGAAATGCAGCATCCCCATCAGCACGATGAACAAAACGCGAAGTGCCACCAATTATCTAGTCAAGGCGACAATAAGATCAAGGCTTAACGACTTTACAAGGATGTTGAGCTTTCTAACAGTGATGGATATTGCCGGGCTAGTACCAGACGAAAGAATCTCGCGAAAAAATTTACATCTACCGCTGAACAAGCCGCTTGCAGATCCTCAGTTCGACCAGCCAGGAGAAATAGATATGCTGATAGGATCCGGGACAACTCTCTCCACATTATGTGTCGGACAGGTAAAATTATCAAAACCATCAGAACCAGATTTGTACTTACAAAATACTCGTTTGGGATGGATCATCGGTGGCAACGTCTCGGAGAGAAGTGCGGTTCCAGAATCCAGTAACGACCATCGATGTCTTTTGACCAATTTGGAAAGGATCATGAGACAGTTTTGGGAAATAGAAGAACCAACCAAGAAACCTCACCTTATCGAATCGGACTGTGAGGAACACTTTCGGCAACACGTTATCCGCGACGACAATGGGAGGTACGTCGTCGCTCTTCCGTTCAACAACAGGAAGTCCGAACTCGGCCAAACCCGAGCAATGGCCGAAAAACGGCTCGCATCCATCGAGAGGAAACTGCGACGTGATGCAAATCTTCACGTACAATACGCTGCTGTCATTGAAGAATATCTCACCCTTGGGCATATGACACGGAAACCCGACGAGCAGATAACCGAGGGGTATTTTCTGCCGCACCACGCCGTCGTAAAGGAATCCAGTCAAACTACCAAGGTGAGAGTAGTATTTGACGGATCAGCGAAATCAACTACAGGAATATCGTTGAACGACACCCTACTAGTCGGCCCAACCATTCAAGACGACATCTTCTCTCTCCTTCTGAGATTTCGCTCACATAATTACGTGTTAACTGGAGACATTGAGAAGATGTATCGTCAGTTCCTAGTACGTGAAGAAGATAGGGCATATCAACGGATACTCTGGCGGGATGCTGACGGTCAAATCGCAATTTACGAATTGAATACTCTTACGTTTGGTTTATCTCCAGCTCCATTCTTAGCAATCCGTTGTCTCCACCAACTAGCCAATGACGAAGGTCAACAATTCCCACGAGCAGCTGAAGTCATCAAAAATGACATGTACGTTGATGACCTGTTAACTGGCGCAGAGACCTTCGAGGAAGCAATCATTTTACGAAATGAAATCGATGCGTTACTCCGACGAGGCGGGCTCAACCTGAGGCAATGGGCATCAAACGATATAAAGCTGCTCGAGGGCTTACCAGCAAGTCACGTAAATCTAAGGCTACAATCCAAGGAGGACAGCACTATTAAGACATTAGGAGTGCATTGGAATTCGGAGCACGATTCCATCATATACACTGTTCATCCTACTCCACTAACAGGCCGGGTAACCAAAAGGATCATCTTGTCAGACATCGCGAGAGTATTTGACCCTCTTGGGCTTCTGGGTCCCGTAATCACGCACGCGAAACTCATAATGCAACGCCTCTGGTTGGAACATTTGGATTGGGATGATGCCATACCACTTTCGATTTATACCGAATGGATAAATTACATATCGCATCTCCCGAAACTGAATCATCTCTCATTCAGCCGCAAATTCGTTCCAGCCGCAGCAGAGGACATACAACTGCACGGTTTCTGCGACGCGAGTGAGAAGGCCTACGGCGCGTGCATCTATGCAAGAGCGATCGACAAGCACAGAAGAGTGACCTCTACATTGTTGTGCGCAAAAAGCCGCGTTGCACCACTAAAAGGTGTGGGGACCAGCAAGCTTAGAAGTGGTGAAGGAGATCGAGAGCATGTGGAACACGCAACGATTCCACGCCTGGAGTTATGCGCAGCGCAGCTCCTGGCCAAACTTTACGCAACTGTGCGTCACGCCACGAGGTTGGAGCCAAACAAGGTGATCTTCTGGAGCGACTCTACCATCGCACTTCACTGGATCAGAACATCACCACATCAGCTACAGCCGTTTGTCGCCAATCGCGTTTCCGACATTCAGAAACGCACCAATATAGATGACTGGAGACATGTACGAACGAGAGACAATCCCGCTGACTTAATCTCACGAGGTCAAACTCCAGCGGAATTTATTCTCCCATCTATTTGGAAACATGGACCTGCTTGGTTACTAGACGCGGAAGAAGATTGGCCACGACTTGGGCTACCCAGCCTGGAGAGAGTTCCTGAGTTAAGAAAGATAAAGTGCTTAACAACGCCGATTCACAATGAGCTACTTACCCGATATTCGTCGATCGTGAGATTACGACGAATAGTCGCATACTGCAGAAGATTTAAATCGAAAAATAAGGGGCTGCTCTCCAGCACGGAGCTTCAAGAAGCGGATCGCGTGATCCTTAAATTGACGCA